CCCCCCCCCGTTGTGACCGGCCCCCCCTCCCGCCCCCCCAGGCGCCGCGGGGCCGTGCCCGTGCCCGGAGAGCAGCTGCCCCGGCGCGGCCGCGCGGCCGCGGTCTTTTTTTTTCCCCCCGAAATAAAGAATAGAAGGAGGAGGAGAGAGAGAAAAGCGGCCCCCCCGCCGGCCCCTCGTTAGCGGAGGTGCCTTTATCCCGGCAGAACGGGCAGATGTGCCCATTGTCCGCCCATTAACAATAACGGACCCCGCCGGCGGCGCGGGGCGGGCGCGCTGCGGGAGAGCCGCGGGGCCGCGGTCGGGAGGCTCGGGGCAAAACCGGCGGGTGGGGCCGGGCTCAGCACCCCGGCACGGGGCAGCCCTGAGCGGAGCCGCGGGGCTCTGCCTCCGCGAGCAGTCCCGGCCGCGCCGCGGGGCGCTGTCAGTGCGGTGCGTGGCGCGGGGAGCCCTGGGCCGCTCCTGCGGCGCCCCGTCACGGAGCACCGGGCCGAGGCACGGCGCAGAGCGGAGCCCGACGCAGAGCGGAGCTTCGGCGCATCCCGCGCTCGGGCCCGGCCCCGCGTTGCGCTGCGGCGTTAGCGGGGCGCTGACCGCGTGCCCCGGGCGGGTGCGGGGACTTCGAGTTCGCTGCCGCTGCGTGCCCGGCGCTGCGTGCGCGGCCCTCCGAACCGACGCCATTGGGTCTTTATCCCTAAAAAACCACGATTCCCTGAAATGAAAACTCCACGCACCTCTGCGTGCGTTTACGGCAGAACTCAGAGCCGCTGAATCGCGCCTCCGAGGGACGGCCGCTGCCCACCGCCGGGTGTTTCCCGAAACCCTTCCGCTGTCCCTTCACCAAACTCCGCGCAGCGCAGCGCCGTTCCCAAGGCTCGGATCTGCGCGGCCCGAACGGCGCTGCCCCATTCCTTATAGAACGAGAAAGGGGCACCCAAAGCTGCTCGTGGCCTCGGGAAACGTTCGGCAAAAAAATAAAATGAAATCATCGAAGCGTTTCTAGAGCGAGACGAGCGGCTGCGGTCGCTCTTCGGGCCAACGCGAGGAGTTCCGGATCTGATGGGGACGCTCAGCTCCTCGATAACCGTATCTGCGTACAATTTAAATATTTAAATTTAAATTAATCAAAAGTTCCTCTGTACAACACTGGGCGAGAGGCTGCCAACGCGAACACGGCCGCGCGGAAGTCACCCGCTCGAGTTTGGGGAAAATAAAAGCATCCGAATTTTCTTCGAGAAAGGAACGCAATGCCCGCACATCCCAAGTCGGGACCGCGGCCCGGGGCGGCTCGGAGGTCGGGGACTAACGGCCGCGGGCCACGGGCCCTGCACCCCGCCCGATCACCGCTTTTCCGTAACAATTTTTTCCCGTTGTTCCTGGGGAGATCCTGGCAACGGAACACTCCCGATGCGGAAAGGTTGCGGCTCCTCGACGGCTCCCGCTGGGCGCCCCGGAACGGTTCGGGGCCCGCATCCCGCACACAGCCCGCACTGCCCGCACGCTGCGGGGCCGTCGAAGTGGCCCAGTCCCGGCCCCCCCCGGGCGCAGAGCCTCCCGCACTGCCGGCGGAGGGGGAGTGCCGGGGACGCATCATTTCGGTGCTTTAATCAATTACCGCTTTGCAGTCAAGTACCATATATTTAACAGAATAATCGTTACCGCCCTTAAGTCTTTATTTGATCAGCAGATACTCTGCGCGGACTTAAAACGCAACTTCGGTTGTTTGAATTGCGCCGCGTGTTGTTCTTTTTAAATCCGTAGCGACGACAGACGGAACGGCCGCCGGCTCCCGCTGACAGCAGCACAAGCGGGCACCGGGCCCTGCGACGGCGCAGCCCGACGGGGCGGCCGGGAACGGGACAACGAGGGGGTGTCCGACGGCGGGGCCGCGGCTGTGCGGCTGTCCGGACGACTTCGTCCTTCTTTTTTTTTTTTCCTTATTTCTTTTTCTTTTTTTTTTTTTTTTTTTTCATTCTTTTCCATCTTTTTCCCCATTTCATTTTCTTTTCCTTTCTCTCTTCTCTTCCCCCACCCCCCCTTTTTATTTTTTTCCTTCTTTATTTTTCCTTTCCCCCCCTTTTTCTTTTTTTCCGTTCTTCTTTCCTTTTCTTTTTCTTTCTTTTTTTCCCCCCACCTTTTTCTTTTCTTCTTCTTCTTTTTTTTTTTCTTTCTTTTTTCCCACTCCTTTCCTTCCCTCTCCCCCCCTCCCCCTCCTTTTACCGTGTGCCGCTGCCCCGCACACGCCGCCACCTCGGCGCAGCTCTCCCGGCCCCCCCCACGCGGTGACAGCTTGCGGCGGCCGCGGCACCCGGGTCCCCCCGCACGGGGACGGTGTCAAAGGTGACGCTCGGAGGCTCCCGAAGCCAACAGCTGCCAGGGGGGGATTAACTTTTCCAGACTTTCCCCTGTTGAGCTTCTTGGAAACTTGCTCGGTGACAAAAACATATACATCTGTCGCGGGGCAGGCAGAGAAAAGAGGGCTTTAGCGGCTGGGGCACGCGGGGGGGCGGCATTAAGGGGGCCGCAGGGTTGGGGGGATGGCCGCCGTGCCCTCAGGGGAACGCAGGGCCGGGCCGTGGGTCCGGGCCCCCGCGGCTCTCGGCCGCAGCCACGCATTCGGCCCCGACGGGGAGAACGGCGCTCGGCGGCCCGGCCCGGCCCGCGGTCCCCCGGGCGCTGCCCGAAGGCCACTCGGGCCCACCTCCCCCCCCACCCCGCGCCAGGCTGCCCTCGCCCGCTCCGTCGAGCCGAGGAAGGCCGCTCCCGCTGCCGGGCGCCCCGTGCCCCGAACGGAGAGTTCTGGGAGCGAGGCTGCCCCGGCCTGGGTGAGCGCCCCGGGCTGAGTGTGAGCTTCGGCTGGCTGTGACCCCCCCAGGCTGGGTGTGAGCTCCGGGTCCGGAGACACGCAGAGGGCGAGGGGGGGCACCGGGAGGGGCTGCGGGAGCTGCCCGGCCCCACCGCCCCGAGCCGGCTCCGCGCCGCGCCCCGCGCCGACCGCAGTGCTGGTAATGAAGGGACTTAGGGAAGCTTTGCAAAACACCGTAAATAATTTAGCGGCGTATTTCAGGAAAAAAAAAAAATAATAAAATAGCTTTCTTAAATCATCTCCTCAATATAACTTGCAGCCTTACAGTATGGCCCTGGTAAGTCTGAATTTTTAAAGTAGCAATATTCAAAGAGACAGAGATGTCTGTATTAATTATTTATCCGCCGGTGCCTTCCTTCGTTTCTAACTTATTATTAATTAGGCGCCTCCAGTCTTTCGCAGAGAGCTCCGCAGAGCCAGTTGCAGCTTTAAATATGAATTAAAAGCAAATCCGAGCTACTGTAATGCGAAAATTATTCCGTGTCTTCCATGGCAGAGATGAATAGCCGCGCGGATCAATACTGTGAAGCTATGCTCCCAACGACAGCGTTATTGATAGCTGATATTAATGATGTTAATGATGGAAAAAGGAAAACAAGATCTCGACAGACTTATAAACTTTTTATCTGCCGAAACCCCGCAATCGGGCGGACGGGAGCGTGAATTAAGGGGGCCGCAGCTAATAAGGACGTTATTTACGAAACCGGATAAACGAGTGCTGCCAGCGTGCCGCGTTTAACTCCGCGCTCCCGGCCGCCCTGAGACACGCGCGGACCCTCGCAGGGGCCCCGACGGCCGCCGCTCCGCAGCCCCCCGCAGCCCCTCACTCTCTCGCGGATCCCGGCCCGGGGCAGAGCCGAGAGGTGGCGGGAGCGGTCCGAGCCCTCACCCCGCAGCGCGACTCCGCCGGACCGCGGACACGCGGGGCCGCCCGCCCCGTCCCGTCCCGTCCCGTCCCGTCCCGTCCCACGCGTGCTCCGAGCTGCGGCTGCCCCGGTTCTGCCCCGCGGCCCTGCTCTCCTCCCGCGGAACCGTGAGCCGGGCCCGGGCCGGACCGCGTCCTTCTGCCCGCGGAGCCGTGCGAGTTGGAACACACGAGCGTACCCCGGCTGCGGTACGACGGGGATCAACGGCGTTCATGCGAGCGCTGTTACTCATGTTTATTATTCAGGGACGGACGCTCCCGGCCCCGCTCACCCAGGGCCGATGCCCCCCCCCGCTCTGAGAGAGGGCCCGGAGCCGGAGCCCGGCCGGGTTGGGGGGCGGGTGCGGTGAGGGCATGGGGGGGAGGCAGGAGGAGCACCTCGGCCCGGCGGCTGCGAACAGTGCGGGGCGGAGGTGCAGCCGCGATGCGCGGAGAGACCTCGTAGGTAGAACTATTTATCACTCTAAAAATCTGCCGGCTGTAAGCAGTTTTCTTTTCTTTCTTTCTTTCTTTCTCTCTCTCTCTCTCTCTCTTTTTTTTTTTTAATTTGAAAATATATTCGTAATTACGATTTTTAAAACCAGCTTCCTCCGGGAGAAAGTCGCACTTGTTTCCAAAACCAATTCACAGCAGATAGTGCGGATATCACTTAATTCCTACAGAAATCAATGTGAAAATTAGATTTATTGGCTCCTTACATTGTTAAAAATGACAAAGTGCTGCCTTTTATTTTCATAAAAACACAGAAGACGAAAATCATTTAATAAAGAATCCGCTCGGTTTAATTTCGCCGTCGGCCTTCAGCCCCGAACCCAACCGCTCGGCCGCCCCTCCCGGCGTCCCCTCCGCGAGGGCAGAGGCACGGCTCCCAGCGAGAGGTGCGGGGCTTCGGAGGGGGAACCCCGCCGTCAGCCGGGAGGTGACAAGGACACG